TAACTAATTTAGAGAAAAAAGATGACAGGTGAGAAGGGGAGTATCAAATTTTATTAGAGAGAGAAATGGACGAAAAAGGCTTAGAAGAATTGACCGAAAAGTTTATTCGCCAGTTTCAAAATATACTCACCAAGACTAAACTTAGTTCTATTGAGAAATTGCCTTATATGACCATGATTAAAGGTAATATTAGCAATCTTATCGATTTTATTACGCAAAACAGTAAAGAAGTCGACAACTTGACCAAATGAAAAATTTTGGCTTCGGTGGACTTATCGGAGCGTTTAGAACTACTAATTAATCTTCCTGACCGCCAAAAAATCGAAAAAAATATTGACGAGGAAACCAAAAAAAATATCAAAAATCAGCAAGAGGAGTATTACTTACGGGAAAAATTGAAAGAAATTAAAAAAAAACTGGGTGACAACGAAGGGGATAAAGAAATGAAAAAGTATTTAGAGCAATTAGAAAAGGAGCCTTATCCCGAACACACAAAAAAAGTGGTTAAAGAGGAAATTAAACGCTACGAGACAATGCCAATTTATTCTAGTGAGGCCAATATTATTAGACAGTATGTTGATTGATTAATGAATTTGCCTTGATGGCAAAAAAAGCAAAGAAATTAATGATTTAAATTTTGCGAGACAAAAATTAAATGAGAAACATTATGGTTTAAAAGAGGTTAAAGAAAGAATTATTGAGTATTTAGCAGTTAATCAAATAGCCAAAAAGCCCCTGGGGCAAATTATTTGTTTAGTGGGTCCCCCAGGAATAGGAAAAACTTCCCTAGCTATCTCCATTGCTGAAGTAACCGGGAGAAAGTTTGTTCGTATATCCTTAGGAGGAGTACGAGATGTAGCAGTAATCCAAGGACATCGCCGCACTTATATTGGTGCGATGCCAGGTCGGATTATTCAGGGTATGAAAGAAGCCAAAGTAATCGACCCTCTATTTTTAATTGACGAAATTGACAAAATTTCTTCTGACTATCATGGCGACCCTTTTCATGCTCTCCTGGAAGTTTTAGACATTAACTTAAATAAAGAGTTTACTGACCATTACTTAGGTATTCCTTATAATCTTTCCCAAGTCATGTTTATTTGTACGGCTAATAGTGTAGCGGACTTGCCACGGCCCTTGTTAGACCGAATGGAAGTGATATTTCTCCACTCTTATACGGAAATCGAGAAGTTTCATATTGCCACCGAGCATTTAATTCCTGAAAATCTGGAAAATTATAACTTGCCTGCTGCCCCAGTTTTTCAAGACCAAGCGGTCAGAGACATAATAAAATATTATACCCGAGAAGCGGGAGTGAGGGAACTAAACAGGAAAATCCAAACTATTATTCAGAAATTTATTGTGCAACTTATGGAGAAAAAAAAAGAAAAGTTAATTATTACTCCTCATAATCTTATTGATTATTTAAAAAAGAAAAATTATGATTTTACCCAAAAACAAAAGCGCTCCCAAGTGGGAGTAGCCACTGGTTTAGCCTGAACGGAAGCGGGGGGGGATATTCTATTAATCGAGGTCGTTCATTATCCCCGGAAAGAGGGCGAATTAGAATTAACGGGAAACTTGGGCGATATTATGAAAGAGTCAGCCCATATTGCTCTTAACTACGTGCGGGCTAATCATAAAAAGTTTGGCATTAGTTCCGAAGTCTTTTCTCAGAGTGGTGTTCATATTCATGTTCCCGAAGGAGCTACTCCCAAGGAGGGACCTAGTGCTGGCATTGCCTTAACTTCGGCCATTATTTCCGTCCTGACGGGGCGAAGCATTTCCCGCGATTTAGGAATGACGGGTGAAATTACTTTACACGGTCATGTTGGAGAAATTGGTGGTTTAAAAGAAAAAGCTATTGCCGCTCGCCGCAGCGAATTAAAAACTATTATAATTCCCAAAGCCAATGAGAAAGATATTGAAGACATTCCGTTGGAAGTTCGCCAAGAACTTAAAATTATTCCCGTGGAAGAGTATCGCGAAGTTTGAGAAATAACCTTTGCCAAAAAGCCCAAAAAAATTATTTTTCCAGTGGAGCAAATAAGAAGTGAAGGAGAGAAAATAAGTAATACTCCTAAAATTTAAATAATATATATTATTATGACAAAAAATAGTACCCTAATAGAAAAAATAGGAAAATTAATTCAGCACATCCAAGCCGAATATCAGGAAGGAGCGGATTACAGGTTTGTCGGTGAAAAACAATTTGAAAAGCACGGAACAGCAAACATTCGAATACTTTCGCCTTCCCTAAAAAAGATTTGTCGCGAAAAGTTTAATTTTCCTCTTGGGGTTAATGATTGTTTAGATTATGAAAAAATTGACAATGAGGAGAGTGATTTCTTTTATCGAGTTCATAATTTTGACGGCGATTGATTAAGTTTAATTAAATAATGGCACAGAAAGCTAGTCCTTACGCAATCCGACTTGGTTATAATCAAGTTTGAAATAATTATTTTTTCCCCACCAACAAGCATGAGCAAATTGACTTGTTAAAAAGGGACAAATTAATTCGTGATTATTTTTATGCGGCTTTTCCTGATACTACCCAATTAAAAATTGAATGCACTAAAAATGACATTTTTATTTATCTTTATATACCTGAAATAAACCTAGTGTTAGGAGAAAATAATGAGAAATTAGATAAAGTAATGAAAAATATTTATGCCTTAATTACGGATAAAAAAATGGGGGTAAAAATGAATTTAATTGAGGTTAAAAGAGTTTACACTCGTGCCCAAGCGGTAGCTAATTTAATTGCTAGCCAACTGAAAAAACGTCTTTCTTCCCGTCTGGTTATTAGAAACGTTTTAACTAATTTATCATTAGAGAGGGAAGTAAAAGGGGTAAAAATCCAAATTGGAGGTCGTTTAGACGGTTCAGAAAACACCCAAAAAAAGAAGATAGTGCAAGGGAAAATGCCTCTCAGCACCAATGATAGCAATATTGAGGTGGGGCAAGCCGAAGCCACTGACGCTTACGGGAAAATTGGGGTTAAAGTGCTAATCTACAAAGGGAAAATTTGACAAAAAAGAAATAATTATAGTCAGAATAGAAATAATTTTTTAAAAATCTTAAAAACCCAAAATCAAACCCAGAACCAAAAATTGCAGAATTAGAATTAAAAAATAAACTACCCGTGGTTATCATTACTAATTTACCCAAAATATTGCCCGTTTTTTTCAAAGAAAATTAAATAATTCCTCCACGGGGTTTAAATGAGGAG